GGGGGGGAAAGGGAAAGGGGGGGGAATGGGGGGGAAGGTAGGGGAGTTAGTGTGGAGGAAGATGGGGAAGGCAAGAAAATGCACAGGCTCGCGGATTCTACTACTAACGGTCATGCCGTGCATCTTAACTGGATGCCAGCTGTGTGAATGGAATGTTGAGTTGCTTGGCAGCGACCGTGCTTTCCCTCGATTCCTTGGCTTCTGTTTTACTTTACTAATGAAGGTGGTTCCAACCTGACGTCGGAGGTTTTTTGCACCTGGTTGGTATGAGCGCGTCCCTGCTCTTTGCCTTGATCTTGATTTCATCGCGCGAACGTCGCGGCCATGACGGCAGTGGTCGCCGCACATCATCTCCCTTGAGTTGTCAGTTACGCAGCAACGGTCGGCGATTTATCCCCACAGCAATTGCTGTCCGACCCAGGGCACAACACACCCTCGTCATTACTGTACCAGACCGGAAAGATAGGTCTGCATACATTCATGGTTGGGTGCGTTGCGGTGTGGGGGGGGGGAAGGTCCCTATCCTCAAGATGGCACATTACCTAGTAGGGGTTATAGAATCAGTGAGTGCGGGGATATTACGTACTCTCGCGTGTCCGTTCTACCGAACACAACGCACCCTCCTCGTGACTGTAGCGGACCGGAAAAAGATACCTTCTTCGCCCGAATACAACGTATGGTCATTATAGCTGTATTTAGACTCAAAGATAGCCCAAATACAGCTATAATTACCGTACGTTGCATTCGGGGGAAAAAGATGGTCTGGATGCACATTCGTGATCGGGGTTCGGTGGGTTCAGGGGGAAGACGGAAAACGTACGGCAGATTGTCCATGGCTTATTACTAAAAAGTACTACATCAGCAAGAGTCCGTAAGAGACCAGAAAGACAGCTTGTATACATTCATGTGCGTTAGGTGTCCACTCGTCGTCAACTATGAACACACGTACTGTCTCCACATGTCTGCCGAACATGAGTTGCTACATGGCTATCTACTTACGGCGGCAATATACTGCCGCAAAGCTACCGACTACCGTCTTGACCGGAATAGAACGCGCTGAATCTAGACGGAAAGTCGCACCACATACGAATGGAATGACTGGGCGTTCTATTCGGGTGAAGACGGTAGGATCCAGGAGAGGACAGAGGGAAAGTAGCAGGTAGACTGCGATTCAACTAACGCTAGCGCATGTAGAGTAAAACCAAGAGGAGGAAGAAAAAAAAAAAACACAGATTTGGCGGGAAAGGGAGAAAAGGGCGGGAAGCCGTCTATGTAGGCGGGAAAGTACAAAAGAGCGAGCATGGAGGAAAAGGACTACTAAGGCTGCGCGCGTTGGTACATACAGTTTCGCCGAACCTTCTTCAGGCGCAGGACGCGTGCATATACCTATACATACAGACATATATTGTCACACTGTAAATCAGAGCGCGAAGGCGGAAAAAAGCAAAACAAGGAAAGGAAAAGAAGGAAGGAAAGCCCCTATTGCATTGTGTGCATACGAAATATACGGAATAACACAACTTAAAATAAAATTCAATTAAAAAAAAAATTAAACAATATATATGCACCCGCACTTTTCTACACTCCATCAGGGACGTTCTCTACGCTCTGCTTCAGAGCGCGTTCGCAGGACTCAAAAAGGAAAACCGGATGACTCGATGATCGACAAAATAGGAATAACGAGTTTTACCATATACACAATAAATTAAATATACAGTAATAAATCCTTTCAACAAGTACATAGTAGTACAAAATTTCACGACATTTATTTTAGAAAATTACGTATTTTAAAATTACGTATTATAGAACTAAACAAAATGATGATGATGACGAGATAGCGAGAGGAACCGCCGTCCGAAGATATTCGACAACATAAGAGGAAGGAAGGAAAGAGAGAGAGAGAGAGAGAGACGGTGGTATCGACGAGGAAGAGATGTTGGCAACGAGATTTCGGACCCTGAAATCACTGATTACAAAAAGAAAGGACGGATAACAGAGTGCAGGGCGGAGGAGAGCGCAGAGAGGGGATGAGCAGAGAGAGGAAGAAAGGCGTACAGACGGGCGGAACTTCGCGGGCGAAATGATCTAAAGCAGGGGAACGCGCAGATAGAAGGGGACGGGTCCAAGGGGAACGCACAGATAAAAGGAGACGGGTCCAAAAAGAAGACGAAGGACAGAACAAAGGCTAAGCCCCAACAGAAAGAAAAGATGAAGATGGAAGGACAGAACAGACGACAGAACGTGAAGGAAACGGGGGGGAGAAGGAGGTCGTGGGAGGAAAGAGAAAGGGAGAGTCGCATTATGAGAGATAGTAACAGACTCTTCGGACCAGGGAGAAGGGACGCGAATGGGATGACAAAAAAACAGGACGGATGATAGTCAGGTCGGAACGGAAGGACAGCAGAAGAAAGACGAGGCAGTCGAAGAGGGAAAGCGAAAACAGCGAAGAAGAAACAAGGAACGAAGGGACAACATAGCCTCATGATTTGAGTGTGAGAATGAGAGGAAAGACGAGGAAGAGGCCGGGAATGGAAGACAAACAAAACGGATAAAGTAGGGAAAGGGGGGACGAAAACGAAAGGCAGAAATCGAGGGGGGGGGAGGGGGGGAAAGGGAGGGGGGAGGGGAGGGGGAGTATAACCAGACAAAATGTAGAGGAAAGAAAAAAGAAAAAAGAAAAAGAGAAAGAGAAAGGGGAGAAAATGGGAGATGCGGAAACAGGTGGCCTAGGGTAGGGAATGAGATCGTAGAGCTTAGGAAAACAAGGACGACGAAAAAAGAGAGAGAGAGAGAGAACGAGAGAAGAGAAAGCTAAGGCAAGAGGAAAGACAGAGAAATGAAGATATATAGAGAGAGAGAGAGAAAGTGAGAGAAAGAGAGAGAAAGAGAAAGACGGAGAGAAAGAGAGGGAGAGAGAGCGAAAGAGAGAAAGTGGGAGAAAGAAAGAGAGACGGAGAGAAAGAGAGATGGGGAGAGTGAAAGAGAGGAAGTGAGAGAAAAAGAAAGGGAGACGGAGTGAAAGAGGGAGGGAGAGAGAGTGAAAAAGAGAAAGTGAGAGAGAGAGAGGAAGTGAGAGAGAGAGAAAGAAAGAAGAGAAAACATTATACGTACCAGAACTTGAATTCAGGAAGACGTCGGATAAAAGGCTTGAACTCATCGCTATTTTTGCTGGGCAGCGCTGGTCCGTCGCCATCTGGCTCCTGTTTAGGAGACAAGAAACCTATTAACAAGTTGAGGATGTAAATACCGAGAGCGTACGTCACGATGTAGAACCCTCTGAGGTAGTAAACCCGCGTCGAGTAAATAATAGCCACGACCAAAGATCCTAACCATCGTGCAGCAGGATGAGGAGTCGATTTGTCTAAGTAGTACTGGAACTGCCGCCCAAGTTTTTCCCGCCATTTCAGAATGCTGGATCTGCTCGTCGACGCCGCGTCACCAGGAAAAGCACTCATCGCGCCACGTGTTCTCCTCTCCCAACCCCCACCACGTCAATCAGATAGTCCACACCCCTGCACTTACCCCCCTTTTACACCCCTGGACTCGCCCCCCTTATTCACCCCTGTACTTGCCCCCCTTTTACCCCCGAATGATGACAATATAGTGGCACAGAAACGATTAACGATACACGCCAACCGGAGTAGACAGAGCACCAAGACAGACAGTAAGAACGCGCAGGCGAGAGAGGTGAGTGCTCGTAGGGCTGCCGCTGCCAGAATGGATGGACAAGAAAGAATGATCGGTCAAAAATGGCGCAACATCACGGACGGACAGAGGAAAAGGCGCTGCGGCCCTTTCTGTGCTTGTTTGCGCTTTTCCTCTGCCAGGGGAAAAAATTCAAGGGTCTTCGCCTCTCCCAATCCCTCTCGCTACCAGCTGCCCTATACCTTGTCTTCTTCGTTCCTTTCTCTCTTCTCCCCTCCCTCCTCTTCTCTCTCCTCCTCTCTCCTCTTTCCAACACCGAAGAATGGGAAGTAGGGTCACTGCGCAATCCGGCTGGGAAGCACAACCGGGAAGTGCGTGGCCGCTTATTCTTGACAAAGGGCGACGTCTCTGCTTCTTTACGTTCCACGACGTCCGTGCTCAGCGGCGCGCACACCCCCTCCCGCTCCCCCGCCCGCTCCCCACGGGCAAAAGGCCTACCCTTGCACACCTCTCATTATGGGGTTCTTCTTCTCAGAAAGCCACAAACCTCTTCAGTCGCCTTGCCGACCACCACGCCTTCCTGCTCGAAAACACACCCGTACTGCTGCGCGAAGTACGCACAAATCTCCTCCTCCTTTCCCGCCCAAAAAGACGGAAAGAAAAGGATCTTCCCGCGTTCCGGTCCTCACGGACATCCCCCTCCCTCTGCCAACTGCTACTCTTGGCAATCACGAGATCTCTGTGTTTCTTACTTCATTTTATTTACTGCATCGCTCTTTGCTCGGCCGCCTCAGAGGCCACATCGCGTCTGATCCCCGCCGTCAGCGACTTGCAATCGTCGCTCGTACGCGGATCGGGGCGCCTCCCCTTCGTCAGCGGCGTGCAATCGTCGCTCGTCGCGTACAGAATCTCACAGCTCTCAACAAGCAGAAGATGTAATCAATCAAGTCAAGAAAGCTGGTAACATGGCGCCATGCTGAGGTCTGATTCGCCCATACCTTAGGGCTCAGCGGAGAAGGCTGTGAGTGGCCCTGGAGGACTGGTGCTTCAAGCTGGGCACGAGAGAAAACGCCACTTGCCGGTGGAGCAAGCAGAGCCTCTGCCTCGCCTCCCGTGGAGTGCCGAATTGACGGGAGCAGATAGCCTGGCCTTTCGATAGGCCCAGCTTTGCGTAGAGCCTAATCAGTGTCGTGTGCACCTCGCCCGCTTGTCCACCCAGCCTGTGCCCTACAGCAGACGCCGCGGCTTCCTGTCATTCGCCTCTCAGTTGACCCAGCCCGTGCACGGCCCGGCAACGAGAACGACAAGCTATTCGGCTCGGACATGGATAGACTCTGCTTAGACCACAACCACCATAACATAACATAGGCCCAACCCACATGGATACTCTGCTTAGACCACAACCACCATAACATAACTTAGGCCCAACCCTCACGGACAGACTGGGGCGTAGCTGCGGCCTCACTACTAAAGGCCAAGGTCCGACCGTTCTGGAAAGCACGATGTTGGTGCAAAAAAAGACCAGGTTCTCCGTTTTATTCCTGGGGAAAAACACATGCTGCGAGTCGGGCCCACCCACAGTCATAGTGGGGGTCTTACGTGGCATGTGCCGAGAACAGGGTAGCACCGTAAGATATGAGTAAGGGACGATGATCTTCGGGGAATCAAAACCTCAAAACAATTTATTCACCATGGGCATGCGAACTCATCACAAAATATTATAACACTCACAACCAAGATCCTGCATAAGATAGGAGTTCACTTGCATCGAGTAGGACAACCAAGCTAGACAAAGCAGCAATGGAAAAAAGATAAATTCCCAGCAACTAACTCAGAAAAGAGTTGTGTGAACCTAAAACACACACATCACCATCATCATCATCAGCAGCAGCAGCAGCATCCTCAATCAACATGCATTGAGTCAGTCTTACGTCCTATTTGTGCCTACACGTGCATACTTATATGTTTATTCCCCCACCGCTACGTAGTTCCTCCAACCTTAACCTATTAATTCGACCATGACTAGTTCACCCTTCATTGTCTCTCCCCCATTCGGGCACAATGGCACTATCCGACGTTACAACTCAAGCGTATAGCTAGCGCAACATTGCAACCGAGATCAAAGAGGTGGAAGAAATATGTTGCTCAATTTCATAAGTATCGAGTGTTAGCACAGATAAAGAGAAAGCAAATAAATAAGGTAAGGAAGGATCATAATTTTTACAAGGTTTGTATCAATCGACCACAAAAGTACTGACCTTTAGGAAAGAAATCATTCACTCATGCATGCAAATGCATTGCTAGACATTCTAACACTTACAAATAAGGTAATGCATAAGACAAAAGTTCACATGCATTAACTCAAAAAAATAAGATAAAAAAGTAATTAAAAATAAATAGTAATTAAAAATAAATAATTTTTCAATAACTTACTCATAAGAGATCCTTGTGCAGCCAGAATACACAATATCATCATCATCATCATCATCATTATCATTTTCAATCAACGTGCGTCGAATCAAGTTCACTTCTTATCTGCGCTATCACGAGCATACTTATTCACTCCTTCCTCCACCATCGCTCAACTCCTCCGACTTCAACGTACCCGACCCCACCACAAATAGCTCGGTCCACGTTATAACTTCACCCAATCAGTCGAATGAGACGAGGTTATGAGCATTGTAACTCATTGGTAAAGTTAGCACAACATTGCAATATAAACCAAAAAGATGGGAGAGAACAAGTTGTTTGAATTTATATGTATCAAGGTATCAATGCAAATAGCAGAGAAGTATAGAGATAAGGTAGAGACGGAGGTAGAGACAACGAAATTAAGAAAAAAATAAATGAGGAAGAGGCATAAACAACGAAATTAAGAAAAAAATGATGCCCATAAGATCTATAAAAGTTATGTTGGTCGGCCGAGAAGCAATAGCAACACTGATAGTTATAACAGTTATAATAACAAGGTAAGAAGTTATACAACCAGTATTAGTATGTAATGCACCTACGATAACATGAAAAATCAATTTTTGATTTTCATCATCTTTATCAAACAAACACGTACACACAACAACAATAACATTGGTCGATAATATGAAATCGATTTGCAGGAGTGTACATCACACAGTAGTCTTAAACCACCAGTATATTGACGCATGTTATTGCTAAGGTGTATCCTCGTATACGCCAAGTTTTGCTGACACGCAAGCACGACGTTTTTTATTTTACTTTGCTTAGAGTCGCCAACCAATTTAGTCTGGTAGTTCCAAACCTCTAAACTTTTCAAAATGAATCAAGATTCATAAGTTTGACTGTGTCATATGCTAACACGATTAGGTAACTGAGACTTTCGCATTTAATTCGTTGTTAATGGACTGAAACTAAAATTAGGGGAAGGTTAATATTTTGTGTTTTTTATTTTTTTTGCTAGTTTTTGTTTTAGGTCATAGTTGTTGTGTGTTAAAATTATTATTTTTTAAATTGTTGAAAATTTCTCCATTTATATTTTTGAAAATTTTAAAATTTTCAAAATCCGGATTGAACGAATTTTGACAAAATTTATACGAAACTATACCTTTGCCTTGGGGTTTTGTATTGTATTTATTTATTTTTTTGTTAATTAATATGATTTTCAATGTTCACTCTATATATCAATGACAAGTCTGATTGAAACGCCCGTTGAATTTTCTTACAAATCGCAAGACAAATTTATAAAAATTAAGGTATCGTTTCACCAACTCTCTATAATTGTGGTGTAAGTCAGATCAACACAACAAGAATAATTGGTTGGTAATAAAAAAAAAAGTAACAACAAAAATAATTATAAAAACTATATTAGTACGAATGAAAAATTAACACATTATTATTATTATTATTATTATTTTTTTCACTTACAATGCATGTATTTTTTTATATTGTCGATAGTTTGTTTTGCCCCTGTTTTTAGCATTTTTACTGTTATAAGGGAGATTGTTATTGTGGTTTTTGTATCAAACTATTGTTGTTATTAAACATATTATCACGTTTTTTCAAACTTTGTATGATTATCATTTATGGATAGGAATAAATACAATGAATAATTCAAATTATGAAGCGCACATTTAAATTTTGCTGGATTTTATTTGAGTTAAAAACAACACATAATATTTTGACGATATAAGGTCTGTTTAGAAAATGACACATTTGTGGTTATAAGAAGGTGATGTTTATTATGATAAAATTTTACATACACACGTAAGAGAAGTGAAGGGAGCAACGAGCTGGGACAATAAATATGAGACCATATTTGAGACTAGAGATATGAGATAACTTGAAGAGGTGAAACGAAAGGTATGAAATAAGAGATGAGACTGGGTTGAAATGAAACTCAGAGTTGCAGTGACAATCCTTAAATTTATATGTCAGTCAGAGCATGCCAAGGTACCGGGGCTAATTTATTTGTTTGAACATAATATTGGGTGATTATAGTAGTCGTTTTTAATTTAATTTAATTTTTATTATCTTAAACCACCAGTACCTTTGTCGGTTCGAAAAATAATGGGCCTCCGACCTTTCAGGAGGTCTAAATGAAACGACAATTGCCGATCAGATTTATCAACAACAGTCGTTGTCGGGCCCAACATCCTAAAAGTTCGGAAATAGGCTAAAACTTGTGAAATGAAACGAAAAAGGTACCAGTGGTTTAAACTATTTTTTTACAATACATCAAATTCATATCAAAGAGGTCAGTGCGGGTGACCTCATTATTTTATAAAGTTTATTTTTTCACTTTAGTTAAGTTCAACAATACAAAAACTAGCACATGGTATGACAACGCAACCACACCCACAAAAAAAAAAACAAAGGAGGTAGGTTGAGGAGCGAAGGTACGGGCGAATAGCGTAGTGCTCCAGTGTCATTGTCCGCTCGCGCGAATAGCTCGCTAGGCGCCATAGACCATCGACCTCGCCGCCATGACGAGGAATGGAAGAAGCTTCGCCCTCTACCTCTCCGGAAGAGGGGCTATACCCCTAAGGCGACAACCTCACCCTGGTAGTCCATAGTCACAAGGTAGTTAGTTATTCCTTAGCAGAGCGACATGTAGTATTAGCAATGCATAGCGCTCACTGGACGAAGGAGAGGCCATGTCGGAAGCTATGGGGTGAATGAATGTGCAATAAGAGTGTAGGTGTCATGGCAATCTCGTCCGAATAGGGCAAGGCGGGAAGACCTCAAGAAGAGCAAAATGGCACGAACGTATCGTACAACGAGGAATGTCACGAAGTACTAGGGTAGGTTCATGTGGATCGAATAAGACGAAATTATTTCCATCCGGGTAACTACACGATCGACTCGAGAGAACATTAGGTTAATAAAAAAAGCAAACGAGTTACCACGGTAATGAAAGAATCGAGGTCGAATTACCATGGGTAAGAAAAATTGGAGTTAATCCAGAGGGTAGAAAGATTACGGTAACAAAGGCGGAGGTATCGATCTACGGTCAGGAGCGTAGACTAATAATAGACTATTCTCGGATGTCATGAGTACATCTCGCTGCCACGTGGCACGAGGGCAGATAAATTAGACAAGTTTTGTGGAAAGGAAAAAAGAGTAACCACGCGGTTATTTCCTTTATACAGGGAATTGAAGGACTCAATATTTGCACACACAGCGCTGTACTGGCTCGAGGGGATCGATCCTGGGAGGCACTACGACGAGGGCGAGAACCAATTAAGAGGTACGGATACCAAAACCTCAAGATCGAAGAACTAAAGGGCAACCACAATCGAGCCATCATGCTCACGTTGTACAGAACGAGGTAGGACACGACCAACCCATATATGCACAGGAGGGAGCCTTTGTACATGGCCCAACTCCAACGATGAGAGCAGACGGGAGGCTCCAGTAAAAGCCTCAGTTCCAACCACAGACCAACGGCTTAGTTGAGTGGAGTTCACATGGGGCTGCCCTCTAGGACGCACATTGGAACAAAGATGCAGTACCAGGGGTAGGCCCTTCCCTGTTGCCTCCTTGGGCTCCAAGGAGAGATTGGCCAGGGCACGACATGGGTTACAGACAACACACTGGGCTAAATCCGGATAGATCGGCTA